ACAGACAACCTCTCGTCAATATGCGTTTTTCGCATTGCATTGCTGCAAAAAACGCATAAAAAGGGGGTTGGTATTGGTGAGGACTGAGGGTAGTGGGCGAACAACTCGCCCCGCCACTCAGTCCCAGTGGACTGGAGACTACTGAGCTCTGTGCCCAAAACCTGCGCTTATATAGGGGAAGAATATGGGCGTTGCCAACGTAGGTGTATAGATGACCTTAGCCGGGCTGTAAAATGCCACATATTCGTTACCTGAGAGGCCATAAAACTCCGTCCCTCTCCCTTTTTTAGGTTTTAATAGTCCTCACCCTATTTGTAGCACAGGGCTGCACGCGCAACCCTACCCGTCCTCCATAGAAAAGATTTTTGGCTGATCGTGTAAGACACCAGCCGAGCCGAGCCGAACCGAACCGAGCCGAGCCGAGTTTTAGTAATTACCGAAATTTTCAGGGAATGTTCCCTATTCACATGGAACTCAAAGATTCCAAATTCAGCCTGCAGGCGTACGTGGTTTTCGTGTTTGGCCCCGTGACAATTTTGGTGGGGAAACGCTAGCTCGGGGACTAGAGTAGCAAGAAAGCTGTGATTTTGTGGGAGTGTTCTCCGCTCCCCAAAACCTAAAGATTTCAAATTCAGCCCCGGGCGTGAATGCTTCTCACGTATGGCATCGAGAAAGTTTTTGGTGGAAAAACCGTCAACTGGAGGACTAAGCTGGAAAACTGAAATTTTAATGGAACATTCCCTGTCCAAGTGCTGTGTAGTTGCACAATTAATTTCCCGAAATTCGAGGACCAGTATGTCACAGTTTCTAGCTACTGGATTTCCGTGCAATCTTACTGCAGCGCAAAATACTGCAAAAACGCATGATCGCACAGGTCCGCCTAGTGCGGGTAGCCAATGATTTCTCCTCCTTTTCTCCCTCCCCATCCCTCTTCCCTTCTCCCCTGGCCCTCCCTCCCCTGTACGTATTCTTCCCACTTGGAACTTTTTCCGATTGATGAAAAGCAGTCTGAGTAGAAAGAAGGGAGTACAATCGCAAAACAAATCAGATATCACGCGCATGCACGAGCATACACGAGGATAGTAATCGTCGTACTGGAGGCTGCAGACTGGCAGTGCGCGGCGAATCCCGGATTACCAAATGTTTTTTCGGTCGTCGCTCGCTGCCGCACGCTTGTAAATGGAGATATTTCATCAAATCTTGTTTTGGGCCGATGTTCTAAACTTTTCGGACATAAAAGAGGCTTAATTTATGCACAGAGCACGGTCATCCAGCGTTTCTGTGTCTGCGACGGTTTTGAATATGGAAAGTCAGACTGAGAAAGCGACAACAACTGTTCCGCACAAAATATTCCAACTTTCTGGCTTCAAAGTGTTTCTGGTC